TGTAATAATCTCTGATGATGGTTTGTATTTCTGTGGAATCTGGTGATATCCCCTTTATCGTTTTTCATTGCATCTATTTGATTATTCTCTTTTCCTTTTTATTAATCTGGCTAGTGGTCTATTTTGTTATCTTTTCAAAAAAGCAGGTCCTGGATTTATTGATTTTTTTGAAGGGTTTTTTTTTTGTGTGTCTCTTTCAGTTCTGCTCTGATCTTAGTTATTTCTTGTCTTCTGCTAAGTTTGATATTGCTCCTCTAGCTCTTTCAATTTTGACAATAGGATGTCGATTTTAGATCTTTCCTTGCTTCTCATGTGGGCATTTATTGCTGTATATTTTCCTCTAGACACTGCTTTGTGTCCCAGAGATTCTGGTATGTTGTCTTCATTCTTGTTGGTTTCAAAGAACATCTTTATTTCTGCTTTCATTTCATTATTTATCCAATCAACATTCAAGAGCCAGTTGTCCAGTTTCCATGAAGCTGTGTGGTTCTGAGTTAGCTTCTGACTTCTGAGTTCTAACTTGATTGCACTGTGGTCTGAGAGACTGTTAGGATTTCTGTTCTTTTGCATTTGCTGAGGAGTGATTTACTTCCAATTATGTGGTCAATTTTAGAGTAGGTGTGATGTGGTAGTGAGAAGAATGTATATTCTGTGGATTTGGGGTGGAGAGTTCTGTAAATGTCTATCAGGTTTGCTTGTTCCAGGTCTGAGTTCAAGCGCTGGATATCCTTGTTGATTTTCTGTCTGGTTGATCTGTCTAATATTGACAGTGGAGTGTTAAATCCTCCCACTATTACTGTGTGGGAGTCTAAGTCTCTTTGTAAGTCATTAAGAACTTGCCTTATGTATCTGGGTGCTCCTGTATTGGGTCCGTATATATTTAGGATCATTAGCTCTTCTTGTTGTATCGATCCTTTTACCAATATGTAATGGCCTTCTTTGTCTCTTTTGATCTTTGTTGCTTTAAAGTCTATTTTATCAGAGATGAGAATTGCAACTCCTTTTTTTTTTTTTTTTTTTTTTTTTTTTTTTTTTGCTCTCCATTTGCTTGGTAAATCTTCCTCCATCCTTTTATTTTGAGCCTTTGTGTATCCTTACATGTGAGATGGGTTTCCTGGATACAGCACACTGATGGGTTTTGGCTTTTGATCCAATTTGCCAGTCTGGGTCTTTTGATTGGTGCATTTAGCCCATTTACATTTAGGGTTAATATTGTTACGTGTGAATTTGATACTGCCATTTTGATGCTAGCTGGCTGTTTTGCCCATTAGTTGATCAGATTCTTCATTTTGTTGATGCTGTTTACCATTTAGTATGTTTTTGGAGTGGCTGGTACTGGTTGTTCCTCTCTCTGTTTAGTGCTTCTTTCAGCAGCTCTTGTAAAGCAGACTTGATGGTGATGAAATCTCTGAATAATTGCTTGTTCGTAAAGGATTTTATTTCTCCTTTGCTTGTGAAGCTTGGTTTGGCTGGATATGAAATTCTGGGTTGAAAGTTCTTTTCTTTAAGGATATTGATCCCCACTCTCTTCTGGCTTGTAGGGTTTCTGCTGAGAGATCTGCTGTCTTATGGGCTTCCCTTTGTGGATAACCCGACCTTTCTCTCTGGCTGCCCTTAGCATTTTCTCCTTCATTTCAACCCTGGTGAATCTGATAATTATGTGCCTTGGGGTTGCTCTTCTTGAGGAATATATTTGTGGTGTTCTCTGCATTTCCTGGACTTGAATATTGGCCTGCCTTACTAGGTTGGGGAAGCTTTCCTGGATGATATCCTGAAGAGTATTTTCCAGCTTGGATTCATTCTCTTTGCCACATTCAGGTACACCTATCAAATGTAGATGAGGTCTTTTCACATAGTCCCTTATTTCTTGGAGGCTTTGTTCATTTCTTTTTACTTTTTTTTTTTCTAATCTTGCCTTCTCATTTTTTTTCATTGAATTGATCTTTGACCTCTGATATCCTTTCTTCTGCTTGGTCAGTTCAGCTGTTGAAACTTGTGTATGCTTTGCAAAGTTCTCGTGTTGTTTTTCAGCTCCATCAATTCATTTATATTCCTCTCTAAGCTGTTTATTCTCTTTAGCATTTCATCAAATCTTTTTTTTAAAGGTCTTAGCATGTTTGCATTGGGTTAGAACATGTTCTTTTAGCTAAGAGAAGTTTCTTATTACCCATCTTCTGAAGCCTGTTCCTGTCAGTTCCTCAGACTTTTTCTCCATTCCAGACTTGTTCCCTTGCTGGTGAGAAGTTGTGATCCCTTGGAGGAGGAGAGGTGTTCTGTTTTTGGTTGTTTGCATACTTTTTGCACTGGTTTCTTCCCATCTTTGTGGATTTATTTACCTGTGGTCTTTGTAGTTGTTGACTCAGATGGGGTCTCTGAGTGGACGTCCAGTTTGTTGATGATGAAGTTATTTCTGTTTCTTAGTTTTCCTTTTAACAGTCAGGCCCCTCTGCTGTAGGACTGCTGAGGTCCACTCCAGGCCCTGCTTGCCTGGGGATCACCTGCAGCGGCTGCAGAACAGTAAGGGTTGCTGCCAGTTTCTTCTTCTGCTATCTTTGTCCCAGAAGGATACCCACGAGATGTCAGTCTGAGCTCTCCTTTATGAAGTGACTCTTTGAATGTATGGAGGTCAGGGAGCTGCTTGAGGAGAGAGTCTGTCCTTTATAGAGCTCAGGTGCTGAGCCGTGAGCTCCATTCTTCCATTCATAGCTGCTGGGTAGGTCCGTTTAAGTCTGCTGCAGCAGAACACATAAATGCAGCAGAACACATAAAAGCACACCCCCCAGGTGCTCTCTCCCAGGAAGTTAGGGCTTTATTCGTAAGTTTCTGTCATGGTGCTGCCTTTTTTCAGGGCTGCCCTGCCCATCGAGGCAGCAGCCTAGTCACAGTCTGCCTGTAGAGGCTTTGCCCAGCTCCCATATCAACTTCCCTGCAGTCCTGTTTATAGGGGTATAGTTAGAACTGCCTCTGCAATGTTGGCCCACCTCTGTAATGGCAGACTGCTTCGCTAATGGTGGACGCCCCTCCCCCACAGAGCTGGATCATCTGGGGTTCAGCTGTGCTTGCTGTGAAATGCTCAATCCAGAGCATTTCAGATTGCTGTTTTTTTGTGGGGGTGGGACTGGCCGAGCCTGATCACCTGGCTCCTTGCCTCAGACCTCTTACTTATTTCAGTTGAACAGGCAACTCTGTCTCCCGGGCATCCTAGTCACCAGTTGAAATGGCGCCCAGATTTGTGTGATTTGAGTGTAGACCTGCTGCGCCCTCTGAAACAACTGCTGGAGACTTGTGGCACTTTTTCACCAGGGAATCTCCTGGCCTATCTCCCTGTTTCAGTCCCCTTTTTAGTTGAATGGGTGACTCTGTCTCCCAGGTGTTCCAGTTGACAGTTGAAAAGGTGCCCGGGTTTGTGTGAGATTTTGTGCAGAGACCCACTGCACCAGCTGAAACAGCCGCACTGGGGGCTCGTGACACTTTTTCGCCCAGGAATTTCCTGGCCTGGCTCCCTGTTTCAGTCCCTCTTTTTTTTTTTTTTTTTTTTTTTTTTTTTTTCAGTTGAACAGGCACTCCAGTTGCCTATTGAAAAGCTGCTGGGATGTGTGATTTCCCATGAAGCGACCCACTGCACTGGCGAAAACAGGCACGCTGGAGATCTGTGGTGCTTTTTTGCCTGGGAATCTCCTGGCCTGGCTCCCTGTTTCAGTCCCCTTTTTATCAGTTGAATGGGTGACTCTATCTCGCCAGTTAGAACAGTGCCCGGACCTGTGTATTTTGTGTGGAGACCCGCCGCGCTGGCCAAAAGAGCCATGCTGGTGACCCGTGGGACTCCTCCGCCTGGGAATCTCCTGGTCTGTGGGCAATAAAAATCCATCTGGAAATGTGGCATCCACTCACCCTCTGAGCTCTAGCTGGGAGCTGCAATCCAGAGCTGCTCCTAATCGGCCATCTTGGATCTCCCCTCATCTTGTATTTCTGAAATTGGACTAGGCTTTGTCTTTTATAAGAAATAAAAGTTTCCTTTGAAGATTTCCAAAGAAATAATCAGTGATGGAACCAATTAAAACTCTGCATGGATGCACAAACCACTACCCCCACCCTCCCCAAAAAAGCTGAGTGTTAAAGCTAAAAGGTGTGATTTTGGTGCATGGTGGTGAAGAGAAGCGTATATCTCAGCAAGGGTAGGTAATGGTATTCAGAGCTTTAGCCCTACATGCTGGTTCAAACTGAGTCTGAGTTCTGAAGTCAAGCATATAATTTAAATTTGGACCCTTGTTAATACTATTGCTTTTTAAAAAAAAAAAAAGTAAAAATGAGATGAGAGATGAGATATTTTCTCAGAATAGGAAGGATATGCCAAAATCTAGATCAAGCCAGAATTCCAGGTATTGGTACTTTTTAAAAAACAGCACTTTTTAACTTGAATTATTTTTAAAAGTTTTATATTTCTAAGTGATCAACTAATGCAGAATAAATTGAATGTTAATTCCAGAATATACAAATCCTGACTTCTAATATTCATGAAATTCATGCATTTGTCCTGGTTTTTATCCTATTTTTGTCTTTAACCAGAGGTTTAAAAATGATATTACAAACATGAAATCTTATTAGAAAATCCAGCACCCAACAGAATCACATACTGTTTTTAACTATATGGAACGTAAAAGACAAGGTCTTATTAAAGAATCTTTTCCTTTTTCTCTTCAAAATATACACATCCAACAGACATACCGAAAAAAGCCAATGAAGAAAGATCTGCAAGAGCCACCTGCAGGGAAAGAAGTGAAGAATGGTTTCTCCAAAGCCTACTTCACTGCTGCGAATGGCATGATGAACAAGAAAGCACAATAAAGATGAGTCACAGAGAAAGCACATATACTAGCCTCAGAGATTCGCTTGTTTTAAAGCAAAGACTGGATTGAACGTTACATGTTTTAGGATAAACTAATTTCTTTTGAGTTTATAAATCATTTGTACCCAGAATCTAGTACTATACTGCTATTAGATTAATCTGTTAACTGAATGCTTTGATCAGCATTGAGGTGATGCTGACCTCCAAGGACCTCAGAACTAACTGGTGCAGCTTCTCCCTCCCTCCCACAGACTGAACCTCCGGCCAGAAGCTGTCCTTGTAACGCCTTACATGCATACACAGCCAGGAAACGTGGAGCACTGTTTCTCACAGAAAGTCTTCAAATAAAAAGAGTTTTGTTCAGATGAAAATGTTTAAAACAAAAGGTTAATTATATTCTAAATACAGGGTATGTTCTAATCTATATTGAGCAATAATTGCAAGTGCATAATCATTCCATTTGTTCCTTTAGCAATCGACCCCAGAAAATATTAAAATGGGATCATATACAAAAGATAGAAAAATGTAGCCAAACTACTTTCTCTAAGCCAGAGTCTTGTCTATCAAATGCCCACAACCACTCCTGATTCTAAACTCAGTGATACAGTAATGAAACTGGTATTTCTTTTACTTTAAAGATTAGTTACTCTAAGGAGGAGAAAAATGCTTCTGCCATATTTTCCTAATTTAGGGGCTTTGGATAGGATTGTTCCTCCATTTCCCTAATCAATCATCAGTTCATGTCTCCCGTGCCAGACAGCCTAGGTTACTAAAGACACCATGCACTACACCACGGGCAGTGTACGACTCTGGCTGCCCATTTCCTTTCTGAGCAAGGACTGGAGTCCACTTCAAAATCTTTGAACATACATGGCACTGGAATATGTATAAATCAGAACTAGTGGCGTGATGGGGGCAAAATAGGCACTGAAGTTGTCAACTGTTTTGTCAGTCTATACTTGTGAATATGACCCCAGATACCTGTTGTCACTCTTTGCAGGTTATTTAAGTTTTTGAAGCTGGGAGGAAAAAGATGAAGTAGCTTGGAAAGATTTCAGCACTAAACCATGGGCTGGTAATGAGCCGCGATGAAAAATGCCGGTTTGGCAAACTCAGCACTCCCATTCCCTGCTCAGGTATATCCAGTCTCTACTGAGAAGCAAGCACAAAAGCAGACAAAAGTATTAATGAGTATTTTCTTTCTCCCTAAGTACAGGACCATTACTACTAAACTCTACCAGGAATGGAAACAATATTTTCTGAAGATTTTTTTGAAGACGAATTTTTAAATAAGTTTTTAGGTCCTGACACTGACATCAAATACACACCAGAAAGGCATTTCCACCACTGTCCCCACTCACTACCGTACAGAGTGCCTTTCTGCCTCTTTCTGCTTTTTTTCCCCAATAAGCTCTAGTTTAAAATTTTTCCCTGTTAAAAAAGATTGTACTTTTACTTTATGTAAACTACGCTTCTGAGGATTTGGGCATATTTTTTGAAGGTGCCTAATGCTTAGGATCATCTTGAGGGTGATACACTGCACCTGCGTCCTTCCCTTCTGTGCAGCCAACACATTTCTATTGAACAGATGTCTCCTGTCTAATGCCCCTTCCTCTTCCATTTCTCTCTAAATCATTTTCTGAAACTGACTTACTCTACAGTGCTTCATCACCACTTCCATCTCGGATCACCTTATAACTGTACTCACTGTCTTGTTCTCTGCCAGCAATTTATTTTAAAACAAGGGCTAGCTTCAAGCATGACTGTTATGGCTTCTCTATGACAAAACACGAGTTTGACCAAGGAGACAGCCCCTTTGAGAAACTGGACCCTAATTCAGTTTAGGTCTCAAACAGAGGTTAAAATCTCTTACCAAAGTACGTTCCAGGTGAAAATGAGACTTAGAGAAAAGCAGGCTGGTCTAACATGCTTGCTGGTCATCACATTCTTACTTTCCAGTGAGGCCCTGAGGTCTCACTGCACAGCATACCTGCCACTTTGGATGTTTCCATGGGTATCTGTATGGCAAGGAGGGATTGTCCTTCAGCAGACAAAATCAAGCAGCTTTCAGTAAACGGCAGCTTGAAACCTCTCCGATCAAAGTGAAAAATGTGAGTAGTTTATACTTCATACCAATGCCAGGGATTAGAGACAGGTTTCATTCACGATGCATATTTTCAATTTGGTCTTTAATTCAAGAGAAGCTTCATAAAACACATAGAGCCTTAAACCACTCAAGGGCTAATTAAAAAAACAGAGTTATGAAATCTTAGCCACAAAAAAAATAGATCAGGTAAAATTTTAACCTGTTAAGTGTTGTAAACTTCAAAAAACCAAAATGCTTATTTTAATGTGATATTTCTAAAACTACTGAAAAATTAATATTTCTATAACCTATTAAAGAAAAAAAATAGAAAATGTTCTCTCTCAAATTTCCTGTTACCCATAGGAATTAAAACTTATCCGTAAAGCATATCAATTATTCCCTCAGTTTTTTAAATTAACAAAATGGAATGTTAATGGAATTAAACATAGAAATTTTCAAGCCATCAAAATTATATATTGAACTATTTAGTCATGTTGCGGGGTAAAGTCCTCACCCCTACATTAGAGAAATATTTATTTTAAGGCAAAACAGTATTTACTGTGATGGGCAGAACAGCATTTTGTATGTAAGAGTCTGTTTCAGTTCTTTTCAATATTTCCATATTGTTTTGTGAATGTTTCTTGGGGCTCCCTTATTTGGAAAATATGGGTGTCACTTTGTTTTCCTTTGAAAGTAATTATATCTTAAGAACATGGTATCATGAATGGAGTGGACAAGGGAGGCTGGAGAAGCCATTTTTCTTTGTAGATAAAAAGCATTCTCTATGATTGTTGTATAATAAATTGATTTTTACACTAAATGCATGTTGCAGGTTTTATTTGGTTCAAAGAAGTTAAAATGTATGCCTGCACGGTATTCCAAATGACCTATCACTTGGGGGCTATTTTTACAATAAGGCAATGAATTCATTTTAGCAATGAATTTTAGACATTCTTCTCTCGTTTCAGTGAGCATTGTTATTATATCATTACTATTACTTTGTACTCATATACCAAATTAAGCTATTTCAAAAAATAGACATTCACAAGAAAAAGTTCAGATTAGCAGAGGATATAAAGGTGATAATAAACAAATAAATTGCTATATAAAACCACCTGGAGAGGAGCACTAGCTTTGAGGAGAAACGACACTGTGCAATGCCCTGAAACCCAACACTGCCCTTCACAGAGCACCTGCACTGGTAGAGAGGTGGTTAGCCCAGCTCAGGAGGAGATGTAGGTGAGTGAGGCCTGACCGTGAGGATGCCTGGGAGAGTTGAGGGGAGGGGCAGGACCACAGGTTGGCGTTTTGTCAGTGTAGAGAGTACAGTTTTGAACGTGATACTGAGTATAATGAGACACAGGTCCTAAATAACTCTACAAAAGATGTGCTCAAAGTCTGATGACAAAGTTGCTTAAATTGCTGGATAGTGACGGGTGGAGCAAGATAGATTCAGGGAGGGACAGGAGGGAAAGAGGGACTGGGAGAAGACTTTTAACTATCTGAATGGGCGCTAGAGTTTGGGGTGGGAGGCTAGCATTTAAACAGGAGCCTTCTCTGTTATTTTTAATGGTGGGTGGAACTTAAGAAAAATTTCTGTTTAAAAATAAGAGAGAAATTTTATGTCTCTCTGGCAAGCCTAATAACTGTTGTTACAAACTAAACTGCTTACACAACAAGTGTTCACATACATAACCCTCTTAATTCCTTTACGTAAAGAAAACATTCAGCATGTGTTTTTGTTACAGCAGGCTTTCTTCCGAGACAAATTACATTCACATGTTTAAGGAAGAGTTTCTCTCTAGGGCATACAAGGAAATAATCACTCCTAGGAGACTAACTCTAGTCATCTCAGGATTCCTTGACCTTCAGTAAAACATGACTTTCAGTCGTAAGGGGGAAAAAAACTGAAAGCTATTGATTTGTAGGTCATTTTTCCATCTTAAATTGTACTGCAGAACACTGGAATAACACTGAGAGGACAAGGAAATCTGTAATCCAGACCCTCCTTGAGCAATTGGTAAATGCAGTTGTTAGATATAGTGAACTCCAAGTTTGTCTTCAAACAATCAGTGTGTCAGTATGTTCAGCTCTTTTACTCTTTAATTCTTCATTTTAAAGTTTAGCTTCTTATAGTTTCAGTAAACAACCTTTTCTACCAGTTCTAATCAGTAGTTCACATCTGTTCCTCCAGTCCCCTGCTCTATACTGACTCGTCCTGGTCACCTCCTCTGGTCACTTGCCCTGGTCACCTGCTTTGAACTGAGTTACCCCTGGTTAACTGTCCCGTAACTATCCTTCCTGCCAAACTACCCACCCTGCCACTCCAGCTCGTGCCCCTGCTCTCTTTAAAATAGCCAATCAGAATTAGCCTAGACTGTGTGGTCTAACCCTAGCCAATAGGGGAATGTCACAGCAGTAGAAACTACCTCCATCAGGAATAAGAACCACCTCCCCTCCCTTGTCCAGGTGTGCACTCATCATTGTTACATCTGTGAGCCACTCCCTTCTATAAAAGTAAATTGCCTTGCTGAAGAAATTTATAATAAGTGCTAATTCTTTTGTGGCACTGAAAATTTACACATAACAAGGTCATTGTGGATCTTGTGAGCAACCCATCAGGAGCCTGCTCTGAAAGTGTCTGTGACCAAATCACATTTGGTAGGCTGAGGAAGGTGAAGTTTGTCATACATCCCTTGATGTTGCATGTGCCCTAGTCTATGGCTACCTGGACTCCTTGAAATGGGCATTTTCTCTTGTATTTGCCACAATCACCATCACTCCATCACTCATATTTTTTTTTTTTTTGAAACAACCTCACTATGTTGCCCAGGCTGGAGTGCAGTAGCATGATCTCAGCTCACTGTAACCTCTACCTCCTGGGACCAAGCAATTCTCCTGCCCCTCAGCCTCCTGAGTAGCTGGGATTACAGGCATGTGCCACCACTCCCAGCCAATTTTTTTTTTTTTTTTTTTTTTTCAGTAGAGACAGGGTTTAACCATATTGGCCAGGCTGGTCTTGAACTCCTGACCTCAGGTGATCTGCCTGCCTCAGCTCCCCAAAGTGCTAGGATTACAGGCATGAGCCACCACACCCAGCCCACTCATCCTTTTTATTCAGCCTATTAACCTGGCTGGCCCTTGAAGGCATTTGAATTTGTGATGCCTACAAATTGTTAAACAACAGAAGGAGAAAGTCTATACAATTTGGCCTGGGCCCATATGATAAACTGAGGAAGATGAACACAGAGT